GTGGAAGTTGGACTCTATGTGAAGACGGTCCGACATGACCCCGTAAACTGTCTTCTACAACGGTCCGACATGACCCCGTAAACTGTCTTCTACATCGGTCTGACACGACCACACAGTGTCTGCTACAACGGTCCGACATGACCCCGTAAACTGTCTGCTACAACGGTCCGACACGACCATACCGTGTCTTCTACAACGGTCTGACACAACCATACAGTGTCTCCTATCCCATTTTTTAATTTTATTTGTCAGCTTATTTTTTCTGTTTTGTTACTCTTTCCAAACTCAAGTTGGCTAGTACCTATCCTCCTTAAGTTTGAGGGGGGCTGTTAATGTAAATTGTAAATGTAAATTGTAAATCACCACTACCACCCACTCCACCTACCACCTCCATTACCACCCACTCCACCTACCACCTCCACTACCACCTACTCCACTACATCTCCTATATAAGGAGCCCCTCACCACCATTTGTAATATATAGTTGTAATATACAACATTCAATCAATAATATACATCAATTTATTTTACAAAAATTATGTAAAATGCAGATCCTAATTAGATTGCAACATGCAACAAGCCAATTAAATGATAATCTCGAACCAGGCACGACAAATAAAACTTAATTGGTAATAAACAAATAAAAGCACCTTCTTGTAATACTTAAATAATGCTTCATTAAAAATTTTAGTCTTTGGTTTAATTAGGGTAGGTGATAACTTCAGTGGGCCAACGCGGACTTGAGTTGAGATCTTTTGCTTAGGTAGTTCACATGTGTCCATTCATTAAAACTTAGGCCAAGTTTGAGAAGTCTCGAAAAAGTTAAAAAGTGAAAAAGTTATCATTATTTATCAAAAGTCAACAATTACGACTGCATAACTTTCAATACTAGTTTTCCCCTACACATTAATTTATATAATTTTTTAATACACATTTTTTTATAAAAAAGTCAAAAAATTAATCCAAATATTTATATTTTCAACCTCAACTTTTTAGTCTAAAAAGACAAAAAATACACTTATTTAGGACACCCCAAACAATCCCTTACTATTAATAACTCTGTTAACTCTCCACTAAAAGTCTAACATATGACTTAGCTTAGAGCATTTCTGAATCAACACTTTCAATTAGAAGATAAAAATATATCTTTTATTCAAAAAAAGAATATAAAATATTTACTATTCACTCAAACACCCATCACAATGACCATTTTCTTCTTCAAAGATTTCCTTTCAAAATATTTTCATCAAAAAAATGAATAATTTTTGTTCATTAATAAATATTAATTTTTAAATTTTTGTTAAATATATTTAATATTATACTTATTTTAAATATGTGATTCACTTTTTTTAATGATATATTTACATATTAAAAGTTATTTGCATTATAGTAAAAAAAATACAATGAATAGTATTATGGAGGTGCTTCTCTATTTCTCATACTCCTATATTTGAAGGATCAGCTCATCTCCCTTTCAAATGGAGATGATTTTAGAGGATAAGTTGAAGCAAAATTTCTTCAAATATGAAGATATAGATGATGGGTTGGAGAACTCTTAGCTCATCCTTGATTTGTACCTTGCATCAACTCATCTACATCTTTACCATCGTGGTTAAAAGTTGATTTTTAAATTTTTTTTTTTTGGTTTCTCTATCTTTTTGTAAGTAAAAAATATAAAAAGTAATAGTTAAAAAGCGAAAAACTTGTTTTTAGCCAACTTCCAAAGTATCCCTAATTCCATTCATAATTCTTTACCAATTTTTTTTATTTATTAAATTTGTATCAAATTTATTATTAAATCAAGACAAAAACAGTTTATGAAAGAAAATTTAGGAGATAAATTTAAAATTTTGAAGTGAGAATTGGAGCATTTGATTCAAAATTTTAGCTAAAAATTGATGAAAAATTATTAAAGAATCACGTATCAAATCAAACTTTTAACAAATTTGATCAAACCCAAAATGAGTAGTTTATGTTTGTGTGAATTGGGTTGACGATGAATACCTGCGCGCCTGATGAAGGATTCATGTTTAAGATTTTCATCGTCGGCCTTGTAAAGTTATCTTCTGAAACTTGTAAGAGTAAGAGTAGCCTTGTATATATATTTTGACACCAAAACTTTCTTGATTTTGCAAAGAGAGCACGGAGAGTGCGAGATACACCAAGCCTGCTAATGTTCTAGTGTTACAATGCTGCTTTTTAACAAATTCGCAAACCCCATTCACACAAACATAAACTACTGATTTTGGGTTTGATCAAATTTGTTAAAAGTTTGATTTGATACGTGATTCTTTAATAATTTTTCATCAATTTTTAGCTAAATTTTGAATCAAATGCTCCAATTCTCACTTCAAAATTTTAAATTTATCTCCTAAATTTTCTTTCATAAACTGTTTTTGTCTTGATTTAATAATAAATTTGATACAAATTTAATAAATAAAAAAAATTGGTAAAGAATTATGAATGGAATTAGGGATACTTTGGAAGTTGGCTAAAAACAAGTTTTTCGCTTTTTAACTATTACTTTTTATATTTTTTACTTACAAAAAGATAGAGAAACCAAAAAAAAAAATTTAAAAATCAACTTTTAACCACGATGGTAAAGATGTAGATGAGTTGATGCAAGGTACAAATCAAGGATGAGCTAAGAGTTCTCCAACCCATCATCTATATCTTCATATTTGAAGAAATTTTGCTTCAACTTATCCTCTAAAATCATCTCCATTTGAAAGGGAGATGAGCTGATCCTTCAAATATAGGAGTATGAGAAATAGAGAAGCACCTCCATAATACTATTCATTGTATTTTTTTTACTATAATGCAAATAACTTTTAATATGTAAATATATCATTAAAAAAAGTGAATCACATATTTAAAATAAGTATAATATTAAATATATTTAACAAAAATTTAAAAATTAATATTTATTAATGAACAAAAATTATTCATTTTTTTGATGAAAATATTTTGAAAGGAAATCTTTGAAGAAGAAAATGGTCATTGTGATGGGTGTTTGAGTGAATAGTAAATATTTTATATTCTTTTTTTGAATAAAAGATATATTTTTATCTTCTAATTGAAAGTGTTGATTTAGAAATGCTCTAAGCTAAGTCATATGTTAGACTTTTAGTGGAGAGTTAACAGAGTTATTAATAGTAAGGGATTGTTTGGAGTGTCTTAAATAAGTGTACTTTTTGTCTTTTTAGATTAAAAAGTTGAGGTTGAAAATATAAATATTTGGGTTAATTTTTTGAATTTTTATAAAAAAATGTGTATTAAAAAGTTGTATAAATAAGTGTGTAGGAGAAGATAGTGTAGTAGGCCGTACGGATTGGTAGTGCAGTCGACTGGGTAAGTAGATGGGAAAAGATTGCCTCCTTTTCGGGTTTTGATTGGGCGGTATTGTTCGGCCGGTGGGGGCTCACCACGGGTCTCGTTTTTCTAATCGGAACCGTTCAATGTTTAGAACTCGTCGAGTACTATTTGCTTGTAAAAAATCACGTTGATTGCAGAATATTTAAACTCTTTTTCAATTGAAAACACAAACATAATATTTAAACAAATTGAAAATACAAAGTCTTATAAATTACTACAGGTGCTCGCGATTTGGCGGTTTGGCGGTTCGGTTGCGGCCAAAAAATCTCAAATCCGCCATCCGTCCGCCAAATTGGCGGATTGGAGAAAATCAATCCGCAACCGTCCGCTCATCATCACGCATCCGTCCAAAATGCGGCGGATCGGTTCGGTTCGATCGATTTTGGCGGATCGGTATATCCGCTGCTCACCCCTAGTACCTTGCATCAACTCATCTACATCTTTACCATCGTGGTTAAAAGTTGATTTTTAAATTTTTTTTTTTGGTTTCTCTATCTTTTTGTAAGTAAAAAATATAAAAAGTAATAATTAAAAAGCGAAAAACTTGTTTTTAGCCAACTTCCAAAGTATCCCTAATTCCATTCATAATTCTTTACCAAATTTTTTTATTTATTAAATTTGTATCAAATTTATTATTAAATCAAGACAAAAACAGTTTATGAAAGAAAATTTAGGAGATAAATTTAAAATTTTGAAGTGAGAATTGGAGCATTTGATTCAAAATTTAGCTAAAAATTGATGAAAAATTATTAAAGAATCACGTATCAAATCAAACTTTTAACAAATTTGATCAAACCCAAAATCAGTAGTTTATGTTTGTGTGAATTGGGTTGACGATGAATACCTGCGCGCCTGATGAAGGATTCATGTTTAAGATTTTCATCGTCGGCCTTGTAAAGTTATCTTCTGAAACTTGTAAGAGTAAGAGTAGCCTTGTATATATATTTTGACACCAAAACTTTCTTGATTTTGCAAAGAGAGCACGGAGAGTGCGAGATACACCAAGCCTGCTAATGTTCTAGTGTTACAATGCTGCTTTTTAACAAATTCGCAAACCCCATTCACACAAACATAAACTACTGATTTTGGGTTCGATGAATGAAAATGGGATAATACGAGGTCAACGGTACACACGGGGGGTTGGGACACCACCAAACCACACCGGAACCCAGCCCGTCTACGCGCTTTCTTTCGTCATTATAAATTTTTAATAATCAACTTGCGGGGAAATGTTATCATTGCAAATGATTTATTAAATTTTCTACTAACCGTATGATTTAGGGTCATAATTTTTGTGATTTAAATAGTTTAAAATTGTCAAAACGATTTCGTTTTGAGTACAAAATAATTTTGAAATTGTCAAAACGACGTCGTTTTGACAATTTCAAGCCATTTAAGCCACAAAAATTATGACTCTCAAACATTTTTCTTCTACTAAATTTAAAATTCACACAAACTTAAACATATGTAAATTTTACATTCATATAAAAAATTTAATAAACCATTTGAAATCCCTTACATAACCTCCAACTTGCCCTTTCAATAATCAACTTTGTTCTCAAATTCCAATGGTCTGATTTGGCGACAGCACCACCTTTTATTTAAAAAAGAGGTTTTGCTGACTTTATTTACGTCTCGTTTGAAAAAAAAAAAGTAATTTTAGTAGTTTTTTAAATTACTTTTGTTAAAATATAAGATAAATAGAATTACTATGTGTGAAATAATATTTTTGATTTTTTTATAAAAAAATATATAAAAAGTAAGGAAAAAATAAACTTTTGATATTTTTATAATATAATTTATCGACTTTTTTTACTTTTTAAATGACTTTTAACTTTTAAATTAAAAATTAATATTCCGGCTTACATCACATTAATTTTTAGATTTATACCATACATTTTACTTTTTGAATATTCGAAATAATTTTAGAATATTTATCAATAAGTCTCATCTCACAAATAAGTATTCCAATTAGTCTCAAATTTTTTTCATTAGTCTGTTAAGTGCTATTAACGAAGAGTTTTTTTCCGTGTGGTCATATTTTCAATTTTGGTAGTATTTTGGTGAATGGTTATACCTTTTTATTAATGTAGCGTGTATGATGTAACACTTCATCGTGGCAGGTATTAATGTGACACTCAAACGTGGCGGATAAAATGTAATACTCCAAAAAAATTAAAAAATTCCTTAATGTATTTTTTTCAAATGTGACAAAGTGACGGATATGATGTGACACTCTAAATATTTTACTCAAAAAAAATTAAAACTCCTTAGTATACTTTTTTCAAATGTGACAACATGACGGGTATGATATGATACTCCAAAAAAAATTAAAAACTCATTAGTATACTATTTTCAAATGTGACAACGTGACGGGTATGATGTGACAGTTCAAAAAAACTAAAAACTCATTAGTGTACTTTTTCTAACTGTAACAATGAGGCCCAAATGTGACAACGTGGCGGGTATGATGTGACACTCCAAAAAACTAAAAATTCATCAATGTACTTTTTCCAAATGTGACAACATAGCGAGTATGATGTGATATTTCAAAAAAACTAAAAACTCATTAGTGTACTTTTTCTAAATGTGACATGTGACACTTTAACGTGGCGTGTATGATATGACACTACAAAAAATTAAAAAATCTTTAATGTACTTTTCTTAAGTGTGACACTTTAACGTAGCAAGTATAATGTAATACTGAAAAACTTCTTAGTATACTATTTTCAAATGTGACACTCCAATGTGGCGAGTAAATGAGTCATTACGCATCAAAAATGACTAAATAGATCATATGAAAAAAATATGAGACTATATATCGGTTACAAGTTCAAAATATAGGACTTATTAGTCAATCTCCCAATAATTTTTGGGAACTGACTCGACCTACCTAATTTTTGGCGGGAGCCCGAGCTTGAGGCTAGACATTTCAGGCCGATTTTATATCCTTACTTCTAAGTCACTTCTAATGTTTAGCCTAACTCCAAAATTACAAGTCAATCTTAGTTCATTCTTATGCAAGAATTTTTAGACTTCATAATTTTGAGTTGACAAATTTTTAGACTTTACAAAATAATGAAAAATTAGTATATTGAAAAATGTAATTTATTACTATCATATGATAAATTAAAATTATAAAACGAAATATATTTATATTTTATCGTAAAAATATAATTTTAATAATTTATTTTTAATTTTTATCAATTAAATTATGACATATAATTTTATTAATAACTTATACACAATTAATGACATAAGAATAATAAATAAATAAAACATTCTTTTATGTGTAACTCTAATAAAAATGAATAAACTTTAATTGATTCTAAATCAATTTACTACACATTTTAGATAAGTTTTATATTATTATTTAATTTTAAAATCTAATTTTTGATTATTTATTTATACTCGTGCATAGCACAAGTATTGCGCTAGTTCTCATAACGAGAAAGCCACAAGATTGAGGAGGGATAAATAGAGTGTTTGGCTTAACCTATATAAGTACACTTATTTAAGTCACATCACCTCTTTATTTTTTTGTACATCTTTTCATAAAAAGTATACTTATTTAGATCACCACAAATACCCCCAAAATATTGGCGTAAGCCCAAATCAATTAGTTGATCGACCTAAAGAAAAGGGAGGTCCAAATGACTTTTTAAAGAGCCTATTAGAAGTGACTAGCAATAAGTTGGTGCATGTCTACGAGCTTAAAAGGATAGTCAAGCATGTGAATATCCTTCTAGAAGAAGGATCTGCATAATAAAATAGGAGTGTCGGATTAAGTTTCATCCAACGATGGAAATATCAGACAACAAATGCAGTAGTATAGGTTAGGCCTACTAGACGGTAAGTCCATCCGATCAACTTGATCCGACGAATACAGCGCTTGGCAAGTTGGCTACTAGCATCTGACATAATCTAAGTCGTCCATGAGAGAATGATCCAACGATCAAAGGCAAAGCAACTTGACCACTTACCCGACCAGAGCCAGGTACGGGTAGAACCCTCAGATCAAACATTGATCCAATGGATGGAATTCAAGTCAGGAAAAGTATAAAAGGCGAAGTAGGTAAAGTAAAGAGGACAAACAATAGGCAATGCAAGAACCCTATTTTAAATACGAATCATCTTTAATGGCCAAATAATATTTTGACTTTACCATTGGAGGGTCCTCTCGACCTACCCTGGTTGGTGGTGATCCCTGATGTTTTGGTTTCTCTTGGCAAAGTAAAAGAGGGGCCACGTCATCTTACTTTCCCTGTGGAGAAGAATTCTGCATTCCATAATTAGTGTCGTCTGTGGGAATGACGAGAAGATGGGTGCCCATCCCTGTCTAGAAGAGATACCAAATGATCATCAGAATATCTTAGTCAGTGATTGATACCTAAATGTTACACATTTAGCCCGTTAACATACACTTTATTAGTCCATTTATTTGTATTATTTTATAATTTTGTATCATATTATGTGTTTCCATACATTTTTAATGTTTGTATGTAAATTGTTATATATATATATATATATATATATTATTTTAATATAATTTATATTATATTATATTATTTTAATAATATTATATAAATAATAAATGTAATAAAATAAATGAATAAATAAACCTGTTCGCGGTGAAATCTATAATGATTCCGATTTTGACCCATTACTTTTTGTATTCCGAACTCGAGTTGGTATGGTTTTGAATAGTTGTTCTTGTTTCTTTCCCTTGTCTTCCCCTTTATTTTGGTTATCGGGTTGTAGTTGTGAGTTTGGGACAGATTGGTTGCTTGTTTTCCCAAACCCTTGTTGCCCAGATTTTGACTCTTCCGCTCAAGCGGGCATTCTTGCGCTCAAGAGGGCTTCACAATTTTGCTCCTCCGATCGAGCGGCCATTCTCGCGCTTGAGCGGGATTTGTCAATTCTCAGTATTTTTGCAGAGAGCATTGGACACTCGAGCGGGGACCTTCATCTGCAGAACTTCTGAAAGTATGTATTCCACGCTCGAGCCATACTTTTCATGCTCAAGTGAAACTCTGAGTCTGACGCTCAAGTGGGGCTTTCCATGCTTGAGTGGACTGCGTGTATAACAATCCGAGAAGATGACATTTTGAATCACTTTTTCTTCTCTCTCTCTCTCTCTAAAACTTTCCAAAAAGCTTGTTCTTGAGCCTCTCTCTCTAGAATTCACCTTCTCTCGAAGATTTTATCTAGATTGTTGGGATTTCCACCCTAGTACCTTTGAGAAAAAGGTAGGGCTCTTCAAGATCTTCATTTTGGTCTGAATAGATGTGGATTTTGGCATTCTAGGAGTTTCTCTCTTGTTTGGCTCATCTTCTTCCTTTAAGGTAGGGATTCTTTCTATACCTTCTGACGCAGCGGAATACACAATGACTAGATATCGTTCTAGTAGACGAAAGGGGCTCTCGAATCCACGAGAAAAATAAAACCTTGAACCCACAAGGAAGAGAAAATATCTTAATATTGTTAATTGAATGAATAAAAGTTGTCTTTGCCATGATGCTTACATAGCTATTTATAATAAACTAAACCTAACACTTGTAGGAAAAGTAATTCTAAAATAAACTAGGGAACTTAAATCAATACAAATTAGGAAACCTAAAAAAATAGGAAACTAAAATTCTAAACTATTTAAAATCCTAGTCAAAATCTAATTCCAAAATAATAAAATTAAGAAACCTAACAATTCTAAAATATTTATACTAAATTACAAGAATCCTAATAATATATCAAAAATATTAAAACTAAAAATGCAAAAATTCTTAAAATCTTGTCCTGAAAATCTTGTCCTACATCAAACTCCTCTTCTTTGAAAGAACTCGTCCTCGAGTTCATATTAGAGATCTGCCATCGTCCATTCCAAATAAAAAGATACTTGGAATACTTCAGTTGTTTGTCCCTCTTCCGAACATTATATGCAGAGAAGTCTACTTTTTGAAAGTTATTCTCTATATGCTTCAACTAGTTGACAAGATTAATTAGACAAGTATTGAAAATCAAATTAAATTGCTCCACACCAAGAAAATCAACCAAATTTACTTTATGAAGAACTTGCATGCTCTCTTGATGTTGCACCATCCCAGATTCAATTGATCCTTCAATTATCAACCTTAGAATATCAAGTGTAGCATCAACCAATTTCTTTGTTGC